ACTATAAATGCAGGCAACAGCTGCTAACAGATAATTTTGTTCTTTTTTTCGTTATCGTCTCTACCCTCTTTACAACGCAGATTAGTCCGTTCTGCAGCTGAAAGCTGTTTGTTCATCTTCGAGAACCAATTCCTATTGACCACCTAGCTGCAAATCATTTTCTGTGCAAAATGCCGCCAATAAGGATATCCAGTAGTCTAGTATCCGGCACCTTCATCTTTCCGCTAAGTGAGCGCGAGCACTTCCAGTCGTACTCTGGCCTTTCACAGGTCTGCTTTCGGATCGGTCGTATGCGGACGGATCGCTTTCACCGATTGCAATTCATCCGTGATCTGAACGGTTACAATCAATTGCTTGCGCGTATTTGCAGCCAACCGGAAAATGTGATTAATGACTCTAATGTAAAGTGCAAATTTTAATATGAAATAGTGAATCAATTTTAAACGGTTCGCAGTTTCTTTGGCGCTTAGTAGAAGTCAGACCGGCCGATTTTCATAACTTCTGACCCGTGTCAAGTAAAATATATTATCGACTTCACAACGTAAGTACAGACCTCAGAAAGCTAGAAATCCCAGCCCTGCACTTATTGCGGATTAAGGATTGATCATTGTCCACTGATCTCCATAAATTGCTTCTGAACTCATTGCTGAATGGTAATTACGACACAGATGGACCAAGAATCAGCACACCAACGTACGAATATTGAATTCAGTTCTTAATCTCTTCATTTACCTCAGTTTGTATCACGGACATGATTTACGATAAAGGATTTGACATGGCATTCGTATCAAATTCGGTCCATTCTTTGTTTCTGCATCTCAAATCTTAGACTGAAAGGAAGGCATAATTCTTTAAGCCGTGAAAGAATCGTAGAGAGTTGGAGGACATATTCGGCAACTCTCTCGGAGAGGATTTTTTTGCATACATTGGATGGCCAATGAAAAGCCGACGAGCACGCGTCACTTGCCATCAGATGACCTTTTCAGAAATTCTGTAAACGCTCAACTTCATATTACATTTTATTACCGACACCACGTACGATTAACTAGAACGCGAACGCAATAATATTAACATAAAATTGCAGTTATGTCAATCAATTCTGCCCTCATTTTTCCAATCCTGACCAGTTGACTGGGTATTCGTGGGCGGTTTGCCTGTATCGCTTGCCGAAACGCAGGGGTTGGCCAGGTCTGCTCTTGATCTGGTAAGCCGGATAATTCCTTTTCGCCTCTGCAAATATCTCGTCCAGGTACTGCGGGTGGTGTAGCTCGTCTATTCGATCTGAAAAACTAAAACGTTACAGCATGTGCACAACGCAAGGGCTGTCCGGCTGTCCAAGAGCTTCCTAACAAATCTGTAGTCCTATACTAATCATTCAATATCAAGCGAAAATGCGGCTTGTTTAGGATATAGCTAAAACAATGGTTGAAGTCTTACGACCATTTTACATAAGCGTCGCAAATCAAAGCACAAAAATGTTAACTCCTTCTATGCTCAGCAAAATTTTTCCATCTGGTTAATGTGCCATACTTATTGCAGTTTCCAGGGACTTTCTATTATGCGACATTATCGTTGGAATTTGACTACAGTTGTAGCAACTTTGGAAACAGGGAATTGGTCTCTGACAAGTGGCTTTTGACAGCCTGTTTGCGGTTAATGGGACGAGATACAAGAGCACTCCGGATTTCACCCTGAAGAACGTTTGTGAGATCGATGGCAAAGCTTCGGGTCCAGATTTACTATGCTAATAATGGCCGCCATATCAATGGACAGCTTCGCCTTTCAAAACGTTGCCCTGGCCATGTATATTTTATTGTCATATAAAAGGCTCTTCTCTCACTCTAAGCGAAGGCAGTGTCTTCGATTGTTAAGCAGATGTGAGAACTTGGGGTAAATTAAGTGATTAAAAAAGAAAAGGGTAAACGAACAATGTAAAGAAAGTGTCGAATTAGGCTGCGAACGGTTGGGTATGAGTAACAAGAAATTACCAGGAATGTGCAGCATTGGCTACCAGCAATTTTAGGTCTTACAGCGAATGAAATACCGTAGTAACGCAAGATTAACATCATATCAGAAAACAATGATAATCTACATTATATCATATGCCGTTTATCAATTCCACAAATATTTCGTCTGGATTGTTGAAACATGAACATTGACAGGTTTTTCCAAAAATCCATTTTCTCTATCGATTGGCTAAGCTGCGCGGACGATTTAAAAGCACAGGAAATCAGTTCAACATACTCAAACTTTGTAGCCCTCGGTTCTGCCCACCGATGGTGTGTTTTTTCCGAAGAGAGTTCCGCTAGTAAGTCCTTCCCATGCAACTGTGATTGCATGTCGTAGCCATGGAAGCTGTGGTCTCAAAGCGGCCAGTAGACTTGGATATCTCAGACTACAGTGTCCTGTTGCTCTCAGGTTGCTGCGTGCCGTCAATTAGCAGATCTTCCAAGGAGTCCCATTTCTTTCGCTTTTATGTGACCACGATCTTTAGGTCAAATCTCAAGACTCTTTTGAAGTGGTGAGGGCAGAAGGATCTGAGGTGGGATAGCCTCGCAGTACAAAATTGCTCCTTCTCCTCACGCAGAATGGAACGCTGGCGTTATTTCGCGTTATACGTGCGGAGTATACAGTATGGCATATGAATATAAAACGGCCTCTTGCATGTCACGCGATGCAGCGTGTCTTTCTTCTAGACAACATATAACGCACCCAGTGCCAGATTTCATAGCCTATTGCGCCACCTCTTACTTCTAATTGCCCAGAAAGACATCGAAAGAGGCCACCGCCATGATATCTTAGCCCCTGACACATCTCGCATCTCGCATCATTATATCCGCTAGAACCACCTGGTGCTCCTCACGAACGATACTCAGGAATCGGTACTCCTGATATGCCCCGCATTAACATCAAAGTTAGCTATGTTAGTGGGCCCGAGTGAGTCAGATGACGCATAACTCCTCAAAAACCAGATTTTTTCTGTAGTAATTACCTAACTGTCCTACAGTTAGTTCTGCGGTTTTCAAAATTTGCGAACTATTAAATTTTCGTTGTGACAAAAGTTTTCTTGTGTGATCATTGTTGTCTTAACTGAAACTAGAATGCGATTCATCACCTTTTTCAAGAACATATTTTCCATTTCCGGCTGAAACTTCATTAATGATGCTTTTATTTTGTTCATATTTATCGTTTACACCGTTTAGAGATTTTAATTGGCAATCACGGGGGTCATAGCGCATTCGTCAGACAGCGTAACCGTATGCCTCAGTTCGATGGATGCAGCATCTCCGTTAAGGTTGCTATCCACTCGCAAACAACGCTTATAACGACGGTATGTTTGAAAACCGGAAAAGACCACAATAGCTGAGAAAACCAGACAAGTGTTGGCAGTGACGTGTCTTCGAAAATTCTTTTCTTAAGGATTCTGATTTCACCCACAGCATATAAACTAAGAAATTGCCAAAGCAACGAAAAGACTTGTAAACAAGAACGGCTGTTATGGACTGTCAGCCATGAAAGTATGTGGTATTATTTGCGTATATCATAGTTAAGAGGCATTTCAATAATCATCGAAGACAGCATATCGTAATCCAGAAGACATCTAACGCAATGCCAGATCAACTACCTCGTCCGCTTCGGCAAATCTTCCACTTTCCAACAGAAGAAGACAATAACAAACAATATACGTCGTTTGGTAAATTGGCGGTCCTACGGCAAATCTAGTCATGGGAAATGATGATGGCAATTTGTGACCTCATCCCTACCTTTCATAGATTGCTCCGTTTCGCACGGAAACTACGCCTAGGATTCAGCATGCTGCCAATCAAATTAAGTAGGTTGATTAGTCATACCCAATAAATATTGTTACTTAGTCTTCAATGGCGGTTGCAGCGCAGCAGCAGTACAGGTTTCAGGGGATAATCGATTGTTGAACTCGATGATTAATGCACGGAAATACTGTGTACCTTCAGAAGATGAAACATGCCGACAGCAGCCGGTTCAAACTTCAAATAAAGCGGCGTCGGCATTGGACTCAGCGGCAAATCGCTCACTTTTGCTGTATGTGTTATTTATATCTGCGGGAAAAGACGCTCGAAGCCCAAAGGATCGTCGGCAGAGCTGTTACAACTTTTTAAACCGCGTGGTCACCGTTCAGTAAGGTCGGCAAGAAGTTGATAAACAAATTGTCAGTACAATTTGAATATCTGCATTCTGCTTGGCCGTTATCAACCATTTGTGATAATTGTTTATTCTCTTAAATTATTATTCAACTCCACACAAAGTAAAGTTCATCTGAATAGTATACTTGCTTTCCTGGAAACGATCTGCTGCAATGGATAAGTTATAGTTAATTAAATGGGACTGCTTAGCATTGGGTCCATAACGCTTAACCCGTCATTTCTTACAGGATATACAGCATAGAGTAATAATATTAATAGAGTAACTATATGATATGTGAAATTGGCGCCAACGTTTGGAATCATATCAAACTCTTTATCAAGGCAATACCGTCAGATAGACTTAGAGATGGAGTCAGCTCATTCTGCAATTTATGGGGTGTTTAACTGTTAAACTGAATGTCCATATGTCGGCTATTTCGATACCTTTGACTGGTTCAAGGTCAAGCAGTTGATGATATGAATCTATTACATATTTTTGACTTTCCTTAAGATGTTTTCTGGTATAGTTTAGTGTTCGGCATGCCTTGTTCTTTTCTTGCTAATCGACTTCATAATTTTAGCTGACAATTTGGCACACATTTCCGATGGAGTTAGTCTTTCACTTCGTTTCTTATGTCATTGCTGTGCCTGTTCTCTTTCTCAATCATTCACAGATTAGTAAATAGCCACGTTTCTCATGAGATCTTCCTCCCGTTCTTCTAGGGCATTTTCTGTTTCTTTAACATCAGCCTCTCCACATCTGCAGAAAATACAGTATACCCAAGCGTACTGTTGATCATCAGCTGCTTTCATAGAATTTTCCATGATTTGAATACCATCTTGAAGCGATCAACTAGAGTGTTTCAATTCCATCATATCCAGCCAGAGTTTGACACTTGGATCGCCTTAGCCTCAAGTGCATTTGGAACCATTCCGATTTTTAAGCTCAGAAACGAGTGAATCGTCCTCTAGGCAGAAATCTGACTGTATATTGTCTCGGTCAGGCAAATGGTGTTCGCCACACGGTACGGCAAGGAAATGGATGTTCTAACGAAGCAGCAGAACAAGCGGCTGAACTGCTTACATTAGTGTTTGCTTCAAGAACCATACAAACCTAATTTCTGTTTTGCCTATTTTATTACTGGGGACGCTGACCTGTTTCGATTGACGACTAAACACAATTGAGTGTATTGCAATATGTTTCGCTGTCATTATCCACCGTCTCTATTCCAGGTGCAGAATGACTGGTTGTAAAATCTTTCCCTGATCTTGTCAGGTCATAAGCTGCATCAGTTTCTCCATGATGTTGGAGTATGTGATGGTTCTAACTCAGTGACAAGGCACATTTCCTCTCTGTAAGTCTAGGCACAATTCTTTACCGGTACAGTTGAA